CCCTCCCCTCCCCTCTTTAGAAATACATTATTTTCCTGGATTGGAAAGGGAGACTATGCTGCTTACCCATATTGCTAGCTGAAGGGGAAAATTCCCAGCCACCATCTTCTTCACTTTAAAGTCAACACCTGATAATCAAACAGATAAACACAGGATTAGCAAAATACACCAAGCCATCTGTCCCTAACATGGCACCTGAGAGCAACCCTAAGCCCACTTTCCAGTTGCTTGACAATAATAGAGTCAATGATCTAACAGTAATAGAGCAAACAAATAGAAAGTAATGCAGCATTAGGCATAACCTGCAGTTTTAGCAAGATCCCCAGTTCTCACCAATATCTATTCTTAGAAAAAGACAATTGGAAAACTGCAGTCCTTGTTTGCTTCATTTAGTTAATAATTTTAAGATAAATATCTTTTTCTAAGACTGCTTCTGGAGCTCACATAGAACCTGGAGGCCATCCTAAAAAATAAAAAGGACTGATGCTACTACTGCTTTGTTTGGAAGCATGCCCTTTTGTTGAATGGATGATTTGTGATTGGCCACATCTACCAGAGGTATTATTTTGTAAGAATAATACATTCTCAAAGTTCCACATTGTTCATTGGCTCAACAAGGCTGGGAACCCCTTGGCTAAACCATCAATGTTAGTTTACAGAAAAACATGGCAAATCAAACCAAATAAAATTATACTGTGGCTTGATGATGATATATAGATCCTGCCAGAGAAATAATGAAGAATCAGAACAGCAATCTAAGCATGTCTGGAAAGCAGCAGGTTAGAGAAGACTGGTGCAGGGCATTTTAGATCAGTTTTTGGAAGTGTGAGTAGGAAATTCTTATCTAATTTGCCAAACCAGACTATGGATTAAATGCAATTAAAGAAGAGTAGCATAAACATATTTTGTTACTATACTTTGTTCAAATTTATTCACCCAAATCCTGCTCTCTATATTATCCCAACTTGGATGTTATTTCTGAAAAATCTATGGTTAATTTCTTTTCAGCCACTAAACACAGATTATAGGTAGTCCAGGGTCATATGCTTTAATGGTTATAAAACATCAAACACATGTTTGACCCAATTTATGTCTCTTTATGTCCCTGCCGTAGTCATTAAGTGAATCACCATTGTGCTGCAAATGATAAATTCAGTCACATGACTAGAGAGGGGACTGACCGTGGGAACTTCAAATTTGAGTTGTAAGTCTCCTTTTTGGGTTGGCTGTACCTTCAGACGGTCACTAAGCAATCTATCATAGATCAAGTATTACCTGTACATTGACATCACAAGCTAATTTAAAGAACTGGTTAATCAACAAAAAACACTGCCTCCCAATTATTTACAGTTGTACAATAAATCTTGGATACAAATTTCAATTTTTGGAATTGTAGCTATTTCAGGTTTGGACAATGTAGCGTGCATTAAAACTTGGTTAAAAGGCCAAGTATGAGGAATGATAAAATTGTGTGTGTGTTTGTGTGTCTTTAAGTAATCTGTTTATTTTGCCACGGGTAGGCAACCTTGGCTCTTTTATGACTCCTGGACTTCAACTCCCAGAATTCCTGAGCCAGCCAGTCCACGAGTCATAAAAAAGCCAAGGGTTGCCTACCCCTGATCTTGGCTATCAAAATGGGAGGCTGCAATAATCACGCTTCTGATTCCCTCCCCTCTTTTTCTCATATATAAACAGGCAGCATTGCTCACCAATAGTTGGACTGAGGTATGGCTCAAATGTATCTTCAGCAAATCTCAGCAAAAGGCTACAGGAACAGACAAAAGAGGGAAAATAATAATAAAACACAAGGAACACCTATCTGCCTTTTTCTCTGGAACAAAGTTCTCCACTGCCTTCCCGTGCTGTGACCCTGCCCATGCACCTGGATTTCCCCACTGCGCTGTCTCCAATCAACAATATCTTCAGAGTGGGCAGAGATGCAGTGTCCTTTCGTGCCATGGTGAGCTTTATTACCAGATGCACAGGGAATTTAGCAGAACGAAAACAAGGATGCCATCCCAACATCCAAGCCAAGAAAGCTAGGAAGAGGAAAAAGAGAAGTCAAAGGATAATTCACCATCACTTAGTTCCCCATCTCTTCTTCCAACAGAAAGAATTAGGGTCCAGGAAGACAAAACTGGAGTTTAAGAAGACATATTTGCAAATTTAAAAGTTATAGCTTTGAAGAACAGGACAAAGAAGGTAAAGGTAAAGGAGTCCCTGCAGATCTTATTCTGCTAGTGATTGCTGACTGTACGGGGTGGTGCTCATCTCTGTTTTAAGGGCCGTTGAACCAGGGATGTCTGAAGACATTTCCACGGTCATGTAGCCATTATCACATCATGGAGCATCCGTCCCACCAAAGTGGTATCTATGCATCTGCTTGCATTTGCATGCTTTCGAACTACTGGGTTGGCAGCACGAGGCGAAGGACAGAAGCTTATCTCACTGCACGATGTTTGGGTCTTGAACCTGGGCTGTCGGCTTTTGCAGCCGACAAGCCCAGCCCCTTGACCACTGAATCATTATGTTATCCCCCCCCAAAATGAAGAGAAATCAAAATCTATGACAATATTTAAATGAACTAAGGATTAAGACTCTTAGAAACAGAAAAAAAAAAACTTTGGTTGATCAAGGTTAAAATAAGATTGCTAATTCTGGCAAGCCTTTATGAACTTTCTGCTGACATCAAGACTGAAAAGATGATTCTTATGGATTTGTTTGTGGATAAGAGCTTGAATATGGGAAGTATATTTGTAACCTCAGAGGGGTAGGAAGAATCACTAAATTTGTTTATAATTCTTGCAATGAAGGTTGGAAATCACATCTTTATATATATTTCTTTTCTCCTTCATTATTAAATTCTTTTCTCTTTTTTGCATTAATTATTCTCTTTTATTTACATTTAAATTGTATTATAATCAAAATTCTTAACAAAAATTATATATACACACACACACATATGTACATACACACACAGGTAATCCTCAATTTACAACCATTCATTTGGTGACCTTTCAAAGTTACAACAGCACTGAAAAAAAATGACATATGACAGTTTTTCACACTTATGACCATTGCAGCATTCACATAATCGCATGATCAGAATTCAGGTGCTTTACAACTGGCATGTATTTATGACAATTACACTGTACTGGGCTCATGTGATTACCATTTCTAATCTTTCCAGTCAGCTTCTGACAAGCAAAGTCAATGGGGAAGCCAGACTCGCTTAATGACCTCATGATCCACTTAATTACAATTATTTGTTTAACAATGATGGCATAAGTCAGTGTTTCCCAAACTTGACAATTTTAAGGCATGTGGACTTCAACTCCCAGAATTCCACTGGCTGTGGAATTCTGGGAGTTGAAGTCCACATGCCTTAAAATTGTCAAGTTTGGGAAACACTGGCATAAGTCATAAAATGGGGCAAAACTCACCAAAGGAAATGTTGCACTTAACTGTGGTTATTAAGTTGAGAACTCACTCTGTATGTGTGAATGTGAATCTGTTTTGCAGGAATTATGAGAAATTGTTCCTTGAGGATATGTTTGGAGTAACCAATTTATAAAAATAAATCAAACTTTGAGTATTGCCTCTTATTTTGCAAAGAAAAAAAATTCATTCAATACTGAGAAACATACTCTATGCATGTTGAAAGAGTCTACTTATAAACCATGATTGTTTGAACTCAGCTATTTGCAATGTACTGAAGAAACCATAGTTAAGCAAACTAATGGGATATTGTGAACACAGCTATTATTTTTCACACTAATCTACACAAAGAGTACTACAAAGATAAAATGAAAGAGTAGGAAGAACCATACAGGTCATTTTCAGTTCCTGGAGGAAAGAAAGGAAATAAATGTAAGAAAGAAATACATTTTTAGGAAGCAAGTTCCCCTGAAAGCAAATAACTTCCACTGCAGCTAAAATTAATCAAGTTAAACCAGTGGTTCTCAACCTGTGGGTCGGGACCCCATTTGGGGTCGAACGACCATTTCACGGGTCGCCAAACAAGGCTGTCCGCCATTTTTTCCCCTTTTCTTTGGCCACACCCTTGGCACCTGGTGATGTATAAGTGGTTAGGGGTCACCACAACATGGGGAACTGTATTATGGGGTCGCGGCATTAGAAAGGTTGAGAACCACTGAGTTAAACAGCTGTGACACATAAAACTATATACCAACCAAGTATAGTCCAGCCTAATGCCTCATGTGAACACTGGCTGTGGGATTAGTTTATGTTCATTTTACTGTGCACATTCAGAAAATTGGGTTAAGTGAAAAATGTAAACCTGCTGAATTTTGTGTACCATATTTACATATAATTGGAACACCCCATAATTTTGCAATGGCCCTTTTAAAAATGAGAATAGGTTGAACATAGTCTGTCGAGTAAAACCAAGAATGGGTGGAGTTTCTAAATAAATTATCTTGACCTTAGGGGAAAACTTAATGTGGAACAAGGGTCTCTTTCACCTAGTGTGAGATGTCACTTCTCTGGTACAAGAGAAGCATCTGACAAAACATTTGAACTTTTGCTTTAGCAGCCCTGATTACCTTTACGCACCGGGAACTAGAGTTTCCCTCCAAAATCGATCCCAAGCACCTGTAGCATTAAATGGTAAACATAACAACAAATGAATCTGAGCGTGCAACATACACATAGGCAAAGTGCGCGAGTCTCTACCCAGACAGGTAGTATTTCACGATGGGCCCTTGAACTTGTGCTCTAATTCGGAAGAGAGCCGACCCTAAATATGTAATTTGGTGCGAAAGAAAGCCTCCCCCGCCCCCTCCCGGTTCCAGACATAAAAGACCACACGGTCCCTTTAGGACGCCCAAGCTCGTCTAGCCCCTAAGGCGCACGATCTTAAATCCGCGCCATTCCCTCCTGGCCGGTTTGGGAGTTGCTGGCCGTGCACCAGCTGATCGCGGCCCCTCCTATCAGCAGGACCCGGGGAAAGGAGCGTGGAGGCGGCCCTGCCCATATCGGCGGGGCGAGCGAGCCATGTCAGAGTTCCAGATTTCGGTGGAAGAGCTCAACGACCTGCTGGCCAACGGCAGTGGCTGTTACAGCCTCCCCAGCGCGCACAGCAACGAAGTGGCGCCCCGCATCCACGTGGGCAACGCGTGAGTTTCTTCCCCCCGCCCGCCTCTGTGCATGGGCGGGGGACACCCCACCCGGCTGCAGGTTGTAGGCCTGAGAACTGGCCGAAGACCGGAGTGGGTAGGAGGCGGCATAATGTGAGGGACTCTGACTGACTGGGCGGGAGGGCGGGTGGGTGGGAGAGAAAACAGCCAGCTGGTTCGATGCTGGAAAGAGTAGATGAAAAGGTACGCCTCTTCGTGGTCGCCGTGAGTTGGCCTAGTAGTAATGCTGCTAGAAATTTCCAGCCGTCTTCAGTTAACTAAATTTAAGTCCTCCGAATCTTGCTGGCAAGAGTGCTCCAGATATGGGGAAGGGCTGACAGCCCCATATCCTGGGCCCATACTGGACTGGATAATGGGAATTGGAAGCTAACCTATTTGGAGACACATGACAGTAAAAGCCTGGATTAAATACTTGTACTTAAATACAAGACACACATTCCTTGCTGTATGTGTTTGTTTATTCAATTTATATGGCTTCCCACATTGGGTGGCTAAACATGCCCCCATTCTCCGGTGCTATACAAAGTGGGTCAGGGAAGGGCGGGGCTGAGCTTAAAATTTGGTACTGCCTGATTTGGAAGCTCCCTTCATGTCACTCTTCCCCAGCATGATGTCCTTCATCTATGGTTGGGTTATAACTTCAGAATTGCTATCTGGAGAGGACCAAATTATGGGAACATGTTCTGTACAAAGCTTTTGGGATCTAAATATATGAAATCACTTTATGCAGAATTAACCTGTGGTCCAAATACCTAAATCTCTGGCAAAAATTCTTTGAACTTTTTTCCATCACTTATTGTGATGTTAGTTGAGAATGCCAGGATGGGGAGAATAAGAGATGCAAGATGATACCACATTCATGGTTACATCATCATGCAAATGTCACAATTTTTGTATTATATCTGTACATAATTACATCATTTGGTAATATTTTTTTCACACATTCATTTTGATATCTAGGCTTGTAACAGGCACTCCTGGGTAGCAGTGAATGTATCTGGAAGATAACCGTGTGCCCTATCCAGCTGTGGTCATGCCTTGTGGAATGAATACTATCTATATTCTGTTGCTGTATATCTACATCTACATATTCTCTGCTTATTTTAGAACTAGGTAGACCCACTGAACTGAAAATAGAGAAATATTTTCTGTCAAATATGAAGGCACATTTTCCACCAGGAGAGAAAATTCTCCACATCTAAAATGCATAACTCATATTCATAGGCCTTGAGATAGACATCAAACAATTAACCATCTAATTTAATTTTCTATAAAGTCAAATCCTATAATTAGATTTTAGGGTGGTTTTTTTGTTTGTTTTTTGCTTGAGCACAGGATGGCTTAAAACATATTTATTTTTCAGGTTGCAAAATCTAAAAGCTTGTTTTATTAGGAAGCAATGTTAAATGGGCAAAGTTCTCCTGGGTAGAGTTTGACTCCTAGTGAGAACGCAAACATAGCCAGAGAATTTTCATGCAATGTTGCAGAAGTAATTGCTGTTACCATATTTTGAGGATTTTTAAAAATCTTTCTCAGGCCAGCCTGTAGCATGGAATTTCCTATTGGTTTTCTATCCAAGGATGAACCTGGTCTGACTGTTGTTTTTTTTTACAAATCAATCAGCCAGGGCAAATTCATTACTGCTATCTGGATTTTTCACTTTACTTTTGTTATCTATGTTCCATTAACTTTGTACAAGTCTATATATAGAAAAATAAAGTTTGTGAGACATATTAATGGTATCTGTTTAAACAGTACTCAGTGATAACCCCCAATGTTTCTGTAACTAATGCAGTGGAAACTTTGGAATCATTTAAGAAATGGATTGGAGGACTTGTGGCCTTCCAAATTTTTTTGAACTTCAACTCCCAGCAATTCAACAAGCATAGCCAAAGGGATGACTGGAAGTGCAGTAATTTGAGAAAACCATAGACTTACTCCTAGGCTACAACTTGGCTGCCAGAGGAATCAGTGTTGCCTTCCTTTAAAGTGAAGGGTGTTTTTTTCCTCTAAAGCAGCTTTCTCCAAATGTATAGGACTACATTTCTCTTCAGTCCTAGAGTATATAACCAAGGCTAATGAAAGTGTCTTCAAAAACTATGTCAGACTGGGTTTCCCTAATCTATCCTGCCCCACAATGTTTGCTTCTCTTGGGTTAGTTATTCTCAGTAGTGGTGGTTATTAATTGTAGTATATTAAAGGTAAGTATTATTATGTACACAGATCCTAACAAAATAATGTAGCAGAAAAAATACTGTAATAAAAAGAAATGTAACATCCATAAACAATATGACCTCCTAAAAAATTAAGTTGAACTAAAACTAATACCACCATTAAAAAAATGTGCGTGCTTTACTGCAGGTTTGCCATTGATCTGTCTAAAAAGGTCTGCTTTTCTTGGGCTGACAGTAGCTTTCATTCTCTAAATCAAGTGTGACCAAGTTGTAATCCATGGACCACCTGTGTTCCTGGAAGCTAGTAATGCAGTCTCACAAGATAATAAATATAAAAAAAATTAAAAGAAACTGGCTCTTTCTGTATATTAACTATATTATACATATTTTATATATGGCCCAAGACAATCCTCTTTATTCTTCAGGCAAGCCAAAAAGTTGGACACCGTTGCTTTAAATGAGGGAGCTTACAAGCAAAACATTTGCTTATTTGTCCTATGTGTTATAGCAGTGGTTCTCAACCTGTGGGTTGGGACCCCATTTGGGGTCGAACAACCATTTCACGGGGGTCGCCAAACAAGGCTGTCTGCCATTTTTTCCCCTTTTCTTTGGCCACGCCCTTGGCACCCGGTGATGTATAAGTGGTTAGGGGTCACCACAACATGGGGAACTGTATTATGGGGTCGCGGCATTAGAAAGGTTGAGAACCACTGTGTTATAGTATGTGCAAGGTTCTCCATGAAGTCATCTACAGTGACAAGATGAAAGCAGATTAGCTGTTTTTCTGTGGCAAAAAGTTTGTTCCAGAAGTCCAGTTTTTATAATTGGCTGCATGTTTAAAAAAAAAAAAGTATGCTATATGTCACCTTCCAGATAAAAGTGTTAACAGTCTCTTCTATCACTTCCAATTTGTTCCACCTCATGCTAATGCTCCTGTTGACCAGGCCTAGTTATAGGTGTGGAGAAAAACAGTAAAAATTCCCTTGATATTAATTTTGACTCCTGGTAATTATATCAACAATATCTGTGAAATTTCCTTGGCAACAGTATGGAAATAGTTTGTCTTTGCCTTTTTGCAAAATTCTTTTTTTTTTACTTCCCATTTTATCTATAAGTTCTGGTGGTCTCTTATTTAAGCATTAATCTGGTTCAGCTGTTGTTACTTTTATGAGGTCAGTCAAGAATGCCTAAGTATTGCCACTTGTGGTGATATTTTTGCTACAGCTTTAGTTAAAATGGTCTGGGTTCCTTATTCAAAAGTAAGTTATGCAAACATTTAGGCCTTTATCTCTTCTTGATTAAATTCTCCAGAATCTTGGTTATATTTTTTCATCATTTCTTACCTCATCCTCCTAAGTGAAAAGCCAGGAATTAAACTTGGGAATATCTATAGAAACTGTGGTTTCTCTGTGAAAACAAATGTTGAGCAAGAGGGCTGGCATATTGTGATTTTGCTAATGTGTTTGTATTTTGTCTGGCTTTTAAGAAGTCCTCATAATTATCTTCTGTCTTTGTATTATTAAAACTCCCCTCTTTATTTGTTTGCAACCTTCAGTTGGGGGAAATTGGAAAGTATAGGGCAACAATTACTGACCCAAGTTAACTCTAATGGGATAACTTAAAGAATGCTGAGTCCTATGACTTCTGTGGGGATGAAATTTGGGGAAATTGTGGCTACTTCTGAATTACTGCTCCTTCCAATTATATTTCCCAGAAATCCGTAGGTAATATGGGAAGACCATATCCCTACTCTTGTTCCTTTTTGTCTCTGGCCCCTATATGCAATTGACTGGTGGATAGGAATCAAGACTGAAATTTGAAATCCCTCAATGGCAGTGAGTGGAAAGGGAAGGACAAGGCAGCAGTTTAGCTGCTGACTAGCAAAGTAGAGCTGGATGGGGGATGGGGGCACTTGAAAGATCAAACCTTTGGATGGAAGGGAACCTTGGGGACAGGCTGAAATCAGGAGTGGGGTGGAGTTTTCCTCATACTGGTAGTCCATAGTTCCCTTTATTCCCCTCCTAGCAAAGTGACAAGCAGTTCCACTGGTCAGCCAAGGTAGAGTAATTTCAGAGCAAAGCCATTTGGAAAGCTGGCAGAAACTTGAAAGTTGTTCCACTTCAGCAATTGGCTTGCAGTAAGGCCCAATGGGTAGACAGAAATAGGCTGCTTGGAACAGAGGCTGAAATCTCTTAAAATGGGTGGTAAGGAAAGGAGGAGGAAAAATGACTTCCACTGCTTCCTGCTAGCTTCCCACAAGTAACATCAGTGGGGAAGCTGGTAGGAAGTGAGAAGTTACTCTCACTCCCACTGCTTTTTTACCCACCTTGTAATCATTTTGTTTAGGTAAGGAAATCTCTCTGAAAGATGGTCCAACAGGTCATAGGTTATATAGTAAATACCAAATTGTTCTCCAAAAATTTCTCTGTGCATGATAATATGCATGGCTGCCAATAAGGACAAATCATTATGCAGTCTCTATGTCAGCCATCCAGTCTTACTCTTACCCTTCTACTCTACCTATAATTTTCAGTTTTTACTTGTCACTAGTCAATCTTATTTTTGAGGCCATAGAGCATACTGATCCAGATGTGTTACGACAGCAACTCCCTAGCCAAAAATGGCCAAATATTACATATTCTAGGATTTGCTATCCCAACTTACTGAGACAGTTTGTGAAAACTGGTGCAATGTTTTTTTTCCCTAAAGAATTGTACTTTGTAAACATTGAGGTTTCCCAAGCCTATTGATGTATTTGTGCACAGATGTTATTGTTTGCCGTTATAATCGATAGGTAGTACGAGATGATTGAAAAGTAGTTTGACTCACCATTAAAACTGGTAGGGGACTGGTAACCAAAGATTTAATTATAATATTCTAAAGTAGTTCTATATCAGCTGTCCAGAAAAGTTAAATTACTTAAATATAGCATATAAACAGAATACTTTATTATTTATAGACCATATCATATTTGCAGTGCTTCTAAAGTCAGACTATTTAAAAATATGGGTGGATTCTTGAACAGTCAAGAATAGCATAGTCTTTTATCTCAAAAATTTGTAGTGTTGTTTGTAAAGCAAATCTCTACATGATTCCTCAAAAGTAAGTTCAAATGACAATTGCTATGGTAGTCAGTCTGTATATAATTAAAAATACAAAGTTGATTTTGTGTTTTAAAATCGGCCCTACTATGTGCCTTTAATAGCAACTGACACAAATATATTTCTTTGACATATAAGTAAGTGGCAGGAAAACATATGGTTGCTACATTTCTGTATATCAGGCTGTTGTTCAAGGCACGGGGCCAAAACCAGTGAGAAAGAAGAGCCTAAATTACTCATGATACCTTTGAAAAATAAGTATTTTAGACAGTAAGTTTAGCTTTAGTTGTACAATAAATACTGTCTAAACAGGTAGTCCTTGACTCATAATCATAATGGAACCTGCCCACACTGTCACAAGTTGTGATGATTGTTACATGAAACAACCACGTGATCATCTCATCCCTTCCTCTGTTCTTCCTGATGTGATTGTTAAGCGACCTCTCAGGTCATCAAGCAAAGCCTTAGGAATATGGGTTGCCTTGGGAAACCTCTCTCAGGACCAGACCCACTTATTTCAGGCTTCCCAAGGCTTTCTCCATTCCCCAAGATTCCCTCCCCTCCGCTTTCCACTCCTCAAGGTCCCTAGAGGCCTTGGGTCTGCGTCCTTTCCCAGGACCTCATAGGCCATGGTTCTGCTTCCTACCCTGCTGGATCCCACACCTTCCTCCTCATCTCCCACCCGTGCACTTTTCAAAGATCTCCATAGCTCTGGACTTTACATTGGGGTAGGCAGGCATGCTGCTCCATCCTACAGCATCCCTGGGCCATGTGGCTGTATCCTAGAAACAGCTGCCATTTTTTTAAAAAAAAAACTGCAAGGAACTGTGGCTATTCT